ATCTGTTTCTGTTCTAGAGCCTCTAATCATGTCTTTCACTCTGCTCACCATCTCTGTAGTTATCTGGGAGATTATTTCTGCTTTGAATTTTTCTCTAGCATCATTCATCTGTTTTGTTACTTCCTGTGTTATCAGTTCAGGGTGTCCAGATGGTTGATTATCAGACTTTTCCACCTCGTTTTCCCCAGAATTTGCCTTTTGTGGGGTGGAAGTCTGAGTTTGTGCCTTGCTTAAATGTATTCTCATATTTCTTTTTGGTACTGTCCTTGGTTTAGTTCCTGGGTTGATACTTTGAAGTTGCTTATTGTAAGTATCTTTGATGATGTATTTAGAACCCTTATGGAATGATTGCATCTCAGAGGTATCTTCCAGTAATAGCTGGTCTTTAGGTTTTGAGTCTCTAATGGCTCTGAAGCTATCTCATTTTCATTATACCAGGAAGGAAACTGATTAGATCACAACACCTTAGACCAAGTGATAGAATCAGCAACACAATAGCATCAAATACCTCTTAAAAAATGACAATTTGTGGTAGTTATTAATCTATCTGGGTTTGAACTTTTGATCCTCAGCCTCTCCAGTATGCTGCTATGCTCAGCTGGGAATTAAAATTTTTTAATGGTGGCCTCACTATCATATACACAGACTTGCAGTCAGCTCTTCAGTGCTCACTTGGAAATCAATTGACAGCCAAAGATTACGAACAACTATATATAAAAGAAAGAGATTAAAAGAAACAAAAGGTAGAATGAAGGTACTCAGATGAAGTATATAGAAAATCAAGCAGAGGATCGAGGCAAAGAGATCATCCAGGCCAATAGTTGTGCAACAGGTCAAGTCACCAACCAGGACTGATGAGTCCAAGAGCATGGAAAAACTCAAGAAGGGATATCTTTGAGAAAAAAATGGAACTGATAGATTATCTAAATCTGACCTGTGGAAAACATTACTAGGAGTTCTTTAATTTTGTCACCGAGTTTCATGTTAATTCACAATAAGTACATACATGGGAAGTTTTTAAAAGTAAAGCAATTATGAAGAGTAGGAAAAAAAGTAAAAAAAGAGACCATGTATTGATTGATTAATAATCACATTTGCATATCCAAATTAATATAACCAGTAGATATTTGATTTAATAAAAATTGCTATATCACTGATATGAAGGGTGAGGGAAGGAATAAAGTAATGTTAAATGCTCATCTACTATAAGAGGAAGTGGCTGCATAAGATTTAAATTTGATAAATAGGAAACAACATTATGAGCATGTGGTTTAGGAAAATGGAGTTAAATACTACAAGAAATGCTTGCAGATGTGAAAGTACTTGCCTCTGGAGAGTTCAATGAAGACAAAGACAGAGACTTGGAAAGGCAAGGATTAAACTGGTGTTTTTCAAATAGGGCTTTATGGGACAATTTGTCTTTAAGCAATGTATATCTTATATTGTATATTGTATTGATTAAAGAAATATTTAAATATTTTGAATGACAAAATGAAAAAATATGGCAGTAAGATAGAAGCAGACAATGGAAAAACTAAGGCACAGATATTTTTATTAGATATTTAAGAAATTTCACCAGGAAGAGTCAAGAAGAGAAAAGCATCCCAGACTAAAAATTCATGAAGGCAATTTATAAATGACTTTATCTTTCTCCTAAAACCATAGGTATCTGTTTAAAGTCATACTTTATACTTCAATTAAAACCAGTATTCTTTTAAAACACACTACTTAAGTCAATTTAATACTAGAATAGAAGCAATCAATGTAAGCAGAATAAACTGAATTCTAAAATATAACTTTTTACAAAAAATGTTCTGTAATATTCTATGTAATACTATCTCTTTATTTTGCTAGGGGAAGAAGATAAAATGGAGGCTGAGAAAGAATCTTTGAATGAAACTTCCCTGCACTTATTTTCTTTCTTAACTCCAATAAAAAGTGGGGGAGATCAACAAAAAACTAGAAGAATTACTAACCAGAAGGCAGACCTTGGGAGAGACTCCTGTTGCCAGTCAAATGGGAGACCAAGCAGGTCACAGTGGATACATTACTGTCTGAGTAGCTGCAGGTACTTCTGACCATCACAGTGCCATCGCTGTTCTCTTCGTCCTTAGTCACACAGTGCCCCTCTGGAGTCCAGGAGATCTGCGCAGCTGGCTTGCCGGCAGCTGTCTCACACACTACCAAAGTTTTATTCTCACTGAAAAAGATGTTTGCTTCAGGGGGCACTACAGAGACGTGAGGAAAATTATACTTCAGCCTTAAGATCAGAGATGAGATTTAGAGCACTTTTTTTTCAATCACAAATATGGCAATGTGATATATCACAATATGTGGCAGCTCTTACCTAGCACTTGGAGTTGATACACATTGTAGAAATTCCCATTAAATGTTGCTGTTTCACAGATGTAAATTCCATCATGAGTGACAGCCACTTCATTAATCTGAAGGTCAGGACTCAGGTCAGGTCTGGAGGCCCAGGTTATTCTCCCATCAGTGCAGTTGGTGTCGATGGTCTTATTTGTTTCTTTTTTATGTGCTCTTGTGCAGAGAGACTGGCCTCTGAGGGTTATTTTCCATGTCATTAACATTACTTTTGCCAGTAGGACAGGAGGGCAACAGAGCACAGCCCTTGTGCCCATGGGTACAGACTCTAAAATGTTAACTGGACACACACACACACACACACACACACACACACACACAGAGGAAGAAATGAGAAAAACAACTTCATAAAGAACTTTGTATGTTAACGTTCATCCACAACATATAACATGAAATAGTATTACAGCACTGCTTTGCTGGTGATCATATCAGAAATACTAGGCTTATATAAGCAATTAATGTTCATAAAGATACATAATGTATATTATATATAAAAATGAAATTCAAATATTAGGCGATTATCTTCTATATTTTACATTACAATGGAATCAACATGTATTAAGATATACTGAAACTGTTAGGAATTTTGATATATAGAAATAGATACAAATATAGAATTCTAAATTAAATGCTCTAAAATATATTTTGATAATTTGCAATATTGTATTTATCACACAATTCAAGCTCCTCAGAAAATAAAATGCTCCCCAGAAAAGAAAGTGCAATAGTTATGTGGTGTCTCCCCCTGAGTTTTAATAAGTGCAAAAAAAAATCAGTAACATCAAAACTAAATGCATATCACTAAGGTTGACTTTTCAGCCAAACATAAATGAGGAAAGTACTTTCATCAAAAGTAACTACTGTGGAATTCAGGTTGAACTAGTTTAAAATTCAAACTTTTTTTTAATTCTTTTCCTGGTACATTTTAGGTATACAACACATTTACATTTCTTATTGGGAACGTGTACCTTTACATGATTCATCTTGGTTCTTATTTTTCCCCATTCCTAGCCCCCCCTTCACCCCCTCCATCCTTCACTATTTACAAAGACTTTGTTTCCATTTTTTCCATTTCTCAGCATTTTTCCTTTCCCT